TGTGTGTGTGTGTGTGTGTGTGTGTGTGTGTGTGTGTGTGTGTGTACAAACACTTTTTAAAACAGCAGTTTTATTACATTCGGGTGCAGCGCTGTGAGACCCTCTAGTAATGTCATCAAAAAATGTGGCCCCTTCCATCTCTGATCTAAAATACTGACATGAAAGGTAGCGGCTGATATGCATCCCTTCAAGGAATAATAGGCCTGTCATTGTAAAAAGTATTGAAGAGCTGTAAACCAGGACATCCTAAATATACTCTGGTATCAGAATATTGGCCTATGAAACGGAGGGCTGCAAAAGACTAATCAGTCCCAGTAATGATCCAAAACCCACAGACAAACTGACACAGCTGTTTCTGATTAGGAGCATTTGTCACCTGATTTGAATCCATTAAGTGTTTTGAAATGGAAACTGAAGCCAAACACAAAGAAGTGCACAAAAATCTCTCTGAATTACTGCGTGTCAACATTTTGTGCCACACTGATCGGATCAAAAACATACAAACCAAACCAAAAATAAAATATATATACTAGCTTTTGTTGCACTGAGTTCTACAGGTTCTATATGTTTATCAAATCTAAGCTGTTCATTTCAAATTAATGTTAGACCTCAGTTTAAATTAAAGGAACCAAATTAACAGTATGAGGGTACAGGTTGGCATTGCACACTCCTGTTGTAAGATATGCATGTAGGACGTTGTGTAAATGAGTCTGTGTTGGCAAGGCAACACGTTACAGCACATTTCCAAATCCTGAAACTCAAAAAAAAAAGGGTAGAATATTTTCATCAGACACTTCCTGCTCCAACCAAAAACATTCTGTGCCCCAGTTTTTCAAAAATGCCCTCTTCTTTGACACATAYACAGACATTACTTTGCTGTTCCCCTCCTTTCTTTTCATTTATTTCTCCCAAAAAAAATTTAAATCAAAATTAAAAATGACCTAGCTGGCCATGAGATGAAAAGAAACACAACAAGAACAGAATCACTGCCTGGAAGTTTAAAAAAACACACACACAAAAGAAAAAAAAAGCATTTCTCTTTCTTTTTAATTCTTTGACCTTGAAAAACGAAGCCTAAAATAATTAATTATAAACGGGTCCAAGAGTTTTCTTTTAAAACAGAGAAAAACAAATTAAAAGAAGGTCACGGCGTAAGAGCTTTATTGCAACACTACTGTGAAACAGCTAACCTGCTTCTTATATGGCACACAAGCAGGATTGCTACACTTTTCAGCTACATGTTTCACATCAAAATAAAGAAAAACAAAGAAGAAAAAAGAGCAGTGAATAATCACAGTGTGCACCTCTGCACTCAGCACTTCTCTCATGTCTGCTGTTGAATGTTGAGCCTCGAGGCAGTTCTGATGGAYGTCGGTGTTGGGGCGTTTTTCTTTTATTGCGCGTGCGAGGAATGTCTTTCCATGTGTACGCTAACAAGGGACTTCGGCACCCTGGTGTTGCCATAGCACGTCGGAGGACGGTGCCAGAGGAATGCTGCCTGTGACTGTGTTTAGTTTGGGCCGTGGAGACGCTGCAGGCGCTGTATTGTCCTGTTTCTCTGAGGACAAGCTCAACAACAACAACCAAAAAGAAAAAAAAGAAAAGAAAAAAAGAAAAAGAAAGATCCACCATGTAGAAGGAGGCGAGTCACTTTGATGTTCGACAACTTTTCTTTGCAGGGATCTCTGGTCCACACTGGGATCAAAGGTATTATTTTAAAGAAGTGGGGTGTATGAAAGGACATTGTGTTTCAATTTGTGATGGTCTGTTCGCAGTTCAAATCCTAGCTTATAACAGCAAAAGGACAAAAAAAAATCTCTAATTCTGCGCAAATTGTTGCTCCGCAGGAAGGCTAGACTACAACAGAGGTCCACCAGTCCATTATTTTGAATGCAATCATCTTCACAATTTAGACCATAATTGGGTCAGTTATTGGCAACAGAAGAAGGATTTTGCAATCTGCTTTAACGGAGCTTGTTATCTATGCGTGTCCTCGTTTCTGTTTTGGCTCGGTTTTCTTGGTCAATTGCTCGAAACAAGCTGAGAGGGAAAAATAATAATAATAATGCTGGGGGGTGAAAAAGCAGATGGAGGGATGAGAAACAGTGCCCGAGGCGAGACGTGCTGAACATGTCATAGGAGTTTATTTCCTTTTTGTGTGTGTGTTTTTTTATATTGGAAATGCTGGAAATTCTCAGCTGCATGTGTCATTGAAAAATAAAATATATGAAATAAAATGAACTGTAAGTGTGAGGAATGGGTGTGTGATTGTACTTCAGAAATTGGGGAGTCTGGGGTGTTTCTGTTATGAAAACACGGAAAATACAAGAAAAATATAGAAATGGTACGTTTTTTTTCTTTTATTTTGCCAAGCTTTTTCAATTATGTATGTTGCCTATGCTCACGAAAAACACACTGCAAATAGTTTTGACACACTCAGATGTTAACGATTCGTCACAATGAAACACATAATTGTGATTTTGAAACAATTCAGGGAAAAAAAACATAAACTATAAACCACCTGACACTTTCGAGACCGAATGTGTTTCTTCAAAAAAAAAGTGATCGTCTGGTGATTTTTGAAGAACATCAACAGTCTAACGATATGAACTGTTTTCCTCCGCATTTTGCAAATTTTATGCCATCGGCAGGTTTTGTTGCATTTAAATGACTTTTGTTGCATTTCAGACTGAGGTATATGATGTCCTGTGGCTGAATCTGGTGTTCTTGTCCAAGTTGAGTCTGCCCTCATTGTTCCCCTGCTAAAACACTGAGGGGGGAAAAATGGCTTTGGCTACACAGTAATCCTACCCTGTCCTCACGGGTATTCACTTATTGTAAGTGAGTACTATCATCAAATATCATCAAAAATGCAGCAGCTTGAACTAATACTGGACTGAGTATTAAGAATAGCATTATACTTTTTACTCAAAATGTGGTAGACTATTGCTAATATAACTTTGTTGTTTTGCAAAGAACAGGAAATCATAGCTTATAGTCTAAACTGGGGGGAGAGGGGAGATCAAAAAAGCTTTTAATGAATTGAACAAAGATATTTTAAAGAACCACAATGAAACCAAACAAAAAYATAAGAAACACATTTTTTCTCCTTTGTYCTCCCTGTTTGAGTGATTAAATACCGATAATACTGCATTACACAATCAGTACAGCTTTTTAAAATTCCGTCTAAATCATCTCTGAGCTTTCGTAACATCAAATCCTTCTTGAACATTCCCCGTAAAACCAGCATCTTTCAGAAAATAAAAGTAACTCCACACAAGCTGCATTGTCCTTTCTCCCTCTTTCACGATATAAACAAACAAATAAAAAAAACAGTCCACCGAATCCTTTTTTTCAGTCCGCATTGCTGCAATAAAAGCCTTGTTCCTTTTAAAACAACTGAACAGATTAACTCTGTATGGCACATTCCCCCAAACCACATGGTAGTGGACACATTTAATAAAGAACAAAAACTGGAAGGAAATTAGACTACACTTCCACGTTGTGCTGCACTGGGCCACTCGCGTCCCTCAAGGCTGATAAGATGTCCAATTATTTGGTAATTTAGTTCAGAGGAACTGGAGAGGGTCCGGTCTGCTTGAGTAAGCAGGCAAAGTATAGCATGGCTGCAACTCTTTTCAGCCCTTATGCCCTTTCKGAGTTCTATATAGACACACTGGGGCGTTTGTTTAAGAAAACTGGCTCTTGGATACAGTGTTGTGCTTGACCAAGGCAAATGCAATATATGTATAGATGGGATACAAAAGGGGAAAATTACATAGAAGTCTCTGCGGGGGGAAGGTGATGGTTTGCTGTGGCTGGGGACTACAACTAGATGGACCAGCCACTTAAGAGAGCTGGACTTGAGGACCAAAGGAGGTTGGATTTTTGGGGTTGAATGGGGAGGGAGCTGCGGATCGGACAAGCAGTGGCTTCWGAGGCTGAAAAAGCTCTGCAAAGAAAGATGGAAGGGCACGACATCTACAGTACATCTACTGGACCAAAGCCATCAGAGAGACAGAGGGACAGGATGGCTGGAGGCCAGAGGAGGAAGAGGTGGGGATGAAGGGTAGGTCTCTTTGGAGGCAGGGTGAAGGAGGGGGATAAAGCCGACATAGTCTCACTCACGGTAGAACACATATTCAGTGTAGCTSGTCCAGATCTTGTCGTCCGTCTGCTCGTGGGCAAAGGCGCAGGTTCCCGTGGAGTTACAGGCCACCATGTGAAAGCCCGCATCGGCCAGCTTGTCGAAGGCCTGCTCCAGGAAGGTGAACTTCAGATAGTAGCGGGAAGTGTAGCGCTCGGGGGGCCGGTCGGGGTCGCGGCTCTCGTTCAGCGTCTCCCCGAACACCTCCTTGGCCAGGGAGGTCTTGCCGCACACCATGATCCGCGCCACCCGCCGGAACTTGGCATCGGTGTGGCTGTCGCGTCCCAGCGTGTAYGAGCCCCGGTAGCCGATGGTGATGAACCCGGAGCGCTTGCCGTCCGCGGCGCCGGGCACTAGGCTGGCGCAGGCGGCGGCGGCGGCCCCCAGCGAGCCCAGGCTCCGCGCCACGTCGATACCGGGCGAGGAGTCCTCCGGGTCGCTCTGACAGCCCTCGTCGCCCAGCGAGTTCTGCTTGCTGATTTTGGGCGCCAGCAGCTTGACGAGCTCTGGCAGGTTGAAGAACTCGGCCTCCCTCTGCAGACGGCCTCGCTCGGGGAAGTGGTCTGGGAGAACCAGCTGCTGGTCACGCATGTAGTCCAGGATGTAACGAAACAGGAAGCCATCGCGGTCCACAAAGAAACGCCCCTTGGTGTCCCTGGCCAGCCCTTTGGTGGACTTCCGACTGAACATCTCCCACAGCAGAGAGTCCGGCACACTTGTGAGGGTGGAGTAGCGGGTTATATACACCTGACCTCCAACATTCAGCTCGATGATCTCTGGGAACGAGACCTCCTCCCCTGAGATGCCACCATCTGGTAAAGCCATGATCCCACTYGTTTTTTCAGAGCAAAGTTTAAACTCAATCAAGTGGCTAAAATCTTCCACCAAGAAAAAAGAAGAAGAAAAGTCTCACTTAGAACACTTCCTCTACTCTAACTTAAGTATCTCCACTGAACTTGCTGTCAGTCAGCAGAGAGCAGATCCCTCAGATACCCTGAGGATGATCTCTTCTTCTTTCTTGCAGGTTCTCWGAGCAGGAAATGTCCCACTTACACAACCGATCATAACGAATTCTCTTCCCTTTAATTTTCAGCGGGGTGCCCAGGAGCGGACTGGATCAGGTGGTCCAACTTCAGTCAGGCAATCCATAGCTGTTGGCGGAGCCTGGGTTCGTCTCGCTGCGCACGAGATGGAGATGATCTTGAAGACGTGGTGGGAGACGATGAAGGCGTGTAAAACAGATCTCCGCGGTTTCCATCACCCCAGGGAGGACGGGAGGGAGGGAGGGTTTCGAACAGACCCGAGCTCATCCAGCCCCCTGTCTCTCTCTCTACTCCTGCCTGGTGAAGGCTGCACATCCAACTGCAGAGTAGCGGAGGAAGCGCGCGTTATTCCTCGCGGCTRGCTCCGCCCACCCGCGGTGACGCGCCTGGATCCGGGTCGACAAAAACCCGGTCCATCAGSATTATTTATTTATTTATTTTTATGTTACTGAAATGATAAATTATTTTATTTTGTGGCCAAGTCTCAAAACAAAACAAAATAATTAAATTAAAATAAACTTTGGTTTACTCCTATGTATTATTTTTAATATGGATATTTTTTAATTCAAATTCGTTGTCTAATTTAGAAGTGTGTTGTTTTAACGGGTTTAATTTGGGAGAAATACTTGCAATAATCAGTTAAGTACTAAGTGCTCCAGGAAAAGAGAAACAGCGACATCTAGTGGAATCTTAAAGAAAAACTCTTCTGTAAGTCATTTCGTTTCAGAAGAATAAATCATTTGACAAATAAAATGTGTTTAAATGATATGAAGAGAATTGTAGTCTGAAACACTTTTAAAAATAATTTTTGCGTTTTTGTTGGGTATTTGTAGTTGTATGTTTAACGTTTGCTGTGCAAAATTATTAGAATACAATATTAGAATTTCACCATTTTTGAGCTGCTACTGCTCAAAAAAGTGCTTGAAAACTTTTTTTTTAGGATTATATTTCAGACAGTTCGTTCAAATAATATATAGATGTCATTTGTTGATTATAGTTTGACAAAATGCAATTTTTGCAAACGTTTTAAGCAAAACACATCTTCCTATTTCTGCATATTCCACTTTTGGACTTGATCCTTGTTTCGATATATTGGGTCACATTTGTAACCTACACCCAGCCTAATGGGTCAATCACATGATTCAAGCTTTCRTGCGGTTTTTGATGGCTTTGTTTATATTGAGTGCGTACCCACATTTTAGAATTGCACATCAGTATCTTCTAACTTTCCTAACTGCTCCATCTGATTCAGTTTTTTATTTCGAACAGACATTAAAACAATCAAAAAGAAAAGAAAAATAAAATAGAATGAAACAAACTTAAGAAATAAAATGTAATACAAATTATTTTGCCCGTGTGACATGCAAAATTTTATATTTTCTGTTCGAAAAGGRGCAGGTAGAAGATACATCTTATAATGTCCTGCCCCTTTACTTGTCAATGTATTGTCAATTAACTATCAGAACATGAAAAAGAGACAACTTGTTTCCATTTTACATCATGTTTAACTATGTAGAATTATTTTAAGTACTATTTATATCATCAATTACATTATAGACTATTGAACATTAAACATCTTATATAGCATATTTTGAAATGAGCTCTGCTTTAATCAGTTTTTTAAATTGGTTTACATTTGTAATTTTTTTAACTCATCATTCAATCCATTCCAGACATTTACTCCACACACTGATAAACAAAAACTCTTCCTGGTTGTTCTAATATGTTGTTTTTTAAAATGTCCTTCACCTCTTAAATCATAGTCCCCCATCTCTGTCACCAAACATTTCCTGTATTTTGTGTGGAAGTTTTTGATTTCGGACCTTAAACATGAATTGTGTAGTTTTAAATATTACCAGGTCCCAGAATTTCAGTATATTTGATTTAATGAATAACTGGTTTGTGTGTAGTTCACAATAACCTGTTTTATGTTTGGTTTCTTATTTTGCTTTAAGACCTTGGTGTTACAAAAAAAAGAAATACAAGACAATTTTGCACTCCTCTTGTATTTCTGGTGTGCTCAGCCTTAGTTTCTCAGTTTTGTGTCAGAATACAACAAGAGCTGTCTTTTTCACTTCAGATCTGTCAGAGCAACCGTTAGAACTGAAGAAAAAAAAAAGTCAGACTTAGTCAACAGCTTTTTCTCCCTCTGCTTTCCATGCAGTCATGTTCTCGAAGCAATCTGGCGACCGATTTCCCAGAAGACCCTGCAGTCTCCAGCTGGCCCTCACCGCTGCAGCCTCGTCATGAACAATCTGCACCGTGGTTACGTTGGCCACCACAGGAGCTTCTTGCTRATGAGATGAGCTGATGACTGTCTCCATTCAGCTTTACAGAAGGAAATGATGAAATAAATGTGCCTGGGCCGACACCAAAACCCTACAGGGTGGGACAACTAAAGCTGCAGCAGTGAATGAAATGGATAAAGTTAGTAAACTCACTGTGATGTTTATGTTTTTCTGATTCACTATAGCATATAAATCTGGATTTTTACTGGCGGTTTCATCATTCTAATCACATCCACACCACGGCCCACTGATACCCAGAAATATGGACAAAATGAACACATCAAATGAATTGGTTTGACCTTCTGCAGCATGGATAATCTGTACACGTCTGTCAATTTTCATCACAGTGATGGCCTTTGGAGGCAGTCAGGTRCACTCAGTGCGTGTGGGCAGATAGGAGGCTTACAACTGATAGATGTTGTTTCAGCCCACCCAGAAARACAAATATGCTTTTATTTWAAAAAAAAGGGCATAATTAAAAAAATCAGACTAAACATGGTACTAATAGGTAACTGTTGTATAAAGCTGTCACAAAAGAGAAATTAGGGAGGATTTCAAGGATACATCTGCCTAYTGATTTGCATATCCTCAGTGGTTTCTGCTGACAACGGCACCAGTGGGTGATTTATGAGATATTTTGTGGGATCAACAAAATATAAAGAGGACTTTGAATCTATATTCGGCGGTGTTGGCGGTACCCGGGTGAACCGGTCCGCACCGCCTCATTGCCCTCGACACGAGAAGTCRTTTATCTCTCATGACAAAGTGACGTGAAAAAAAAACAAAAACAAAAAACAAACTCGGATCTTCTAATGTGCGCCTGCCTAACCTGATGCTTCTCCCACACCAGCACTGCTTCAGTGTGGACAAACGGGTTTCAGCATTTATCAGTTCAACAACAATCGTTACCTTCTCTGCCGTTTCCTGTTCTGATCAGAATTTGAAGTAATAGAAATAACTCAAAGCTAACCGCCACCTTTAAGACTAAGAGTTTCATCTTGGAGCGTCCTGGAATGAGAAGGAATTAACTGTGAGATCTCATAAGATGTGTTATCTGAGAATGAGCTGAGGAGGACTCTCAGGTACTACCACAACGGGGTGTAAGAAAATATAGATACATTGRAATATCGCAATATTTGAATTCCTGAAACTATCAATTCTCAAAAGCACTGTGTTGATTTTCAATTGAGGCTTAAATGTTCATGCCAGATTTTATGCATGTTGTGCTCTTTATATACTGAGTTTTTTTATTAGAATCTTATGGAGAGAAAAAAAGGCCACATCACCTTGCTTAGAATTTGCAATTTATCATGACATATCATATTGTGACTCCTGTGTTGTGATGTATCATATCACCAAATTCTTGCCTACCACATCTAATTTTAGCTCAGTGCCTGTGTTAAAGCCTGTTTTTGTGTTGGCTAGGGTCAACAAGCTGTGGTGACCACCTTGAATTGGGGTGGTTCCAAACGTTTATGAAACATAGACATACATCTAATGRTTACTTYGAGTTTCATTTAAAATCCAGCCAATGCTTCGTCAGATATTTTCCTTTGCTATCTGCTATAAACCTGACATTTTCTAACTTTGAATTGCTTTAAAGGAGTGGTCAAGGATACTTTAAGTCAGGGATGTTCAATCCTGGTCTTCCAGTATCGCTGTCCTCCACGATTTTCTAGTTTCTCTGCTCCAACACGATTGAATTACCTCTTCAAGTTCTGCAAAAGCCTATGTATCACTTACTCCTTCAAATCCAACGTTAGAGGAGAAACGACTCTAAAACATGCAGGATAGTGGTCTTAGGTGAATGAGCRTCAGCTTTCTATGAATTGGGAATCTTTCAAGAACGGTGTGAAAGGTTTTGACCATTTTTAACAACTCTAAACAAACAGCTGGAGTTTTCTGCGTTTCCTGTGCACTGAGTTTCGAAACTCTGATCATATTCTCATTAAATCTAGTCTAAATTACAAGCTTCATTTTAACTCCTGCAGTATTTTATATTTAAATACATTTGAACTTGTCAGCATGTGAGCTCCTTCCTTTCAAATCTGTGCTTTCTAATAAGTACATTTGGTGTGAAATGATCAGATACTTTGAGACACTTGTCACCTTTGCAGTGAGAAATAAAAACTTGTGCTTGAATTATAGTCCCTTTTAGTCATGTCAATGTTCACAATGACTTCCTCTAACACTAGTTTTTTTTTCTTATGACAACTGTTTTATGGTGTATAACATTTGTGGAGGGACTACAGATGTAAATTAGGCTTAGGCTAAATCTGGTGCAATGCATCAAATGTTTTTGTGTTTGTTTTAATTGCACACTCTCCTGATTAAATAAAAAAAAAAGAAATTTGTCATTTTACCTTCTATACGTTTGTGTAGTGCACCTGTCTTTGACCCTGGTCTCAGAAGACCTCCCTCAAAAGAGACATTTTATTTGTCCTTAATCAATATAATAAACAAAATAATAACATTCTTTATATTTTTGATTTATATTTTCTCTTAACTAAGAGTTACTGAGTTACACTTCCAGAGACGCTGGAAGTTTTTACTGGAAGGAACCTGACCAGAGTTTCTTGCTGTGACCTGGGTGAATACTTTCTAAACGCTTGACCCTGTGAAGACAGCTCCAGGCAGAGGCTGAATGTTTTGATAAGCGTACCGATGTCCGGCTGATGCTATCGAGAGACACAAGTGCTCGTTCTGGTTTCTCACATATTGATAAGATAAAAAGTTAAGGCTAACGTCCTCCTTTCCTTCTATTTCTTGACTTTTGCAGTGCCATCTCASTTTAATKTACCTGCAAACATCTGGTTTATTAAGACCTAAAACCTGAAGTGCTGCTGTTGCTGTTAAAGTTGTCATTTTGACAATTTAGTACGGACGCGTACTGATTGTTGTTAAAACGCTTAACAAAATTTGATTGTTCACAATAAGTTGTATATTAGTGATTTATTTTGGTCCTGTAAATAAATGATCTTGTTTATTTTAGATCAAACTAAATTCCTGAGTCAAGTTCATCTTATTGTGTGGCCTCAGTTTTACAGAGTTGACAGAAGAACCTATGAATTTCCTTATAACTTTCATTATAAGAAGGTGTATAATCACATTTGTAACTAGAGGACAAATGCGACAAACTATATCCTGTCAGCTCATTAGGTTATGCAGAACACAAAAGTGCAACCATGGCCAACATAAATTGGGGAACAGTAGCAGTAATTCAGRTTAACTGCAGCCTTCGTAAAGTCAGCATGAATTTGATCTCTATGCAACGTTCAAAACTCCTCAGCCTGTAGAGAAAAAAATAATCTAATAGTTAAATAATAAGGGTGCAACGATACAGAAAATTCACAATTCGGTTCGATACTTAAGTCTCACGATTCGATATTTTTTTTTATACAAAAAGAGAAATTCCCATGCCCCATTTAACTTGTAATTTATTTAAATTAATTATGAACATTTGTTTAACCTCAAAAGTCCAGTTTTAAAATTAAATGTTGCTGGAACAGATAGTTCCTCAAAAATGCAGCCTAGGGGAGTAGTCGAACACAGATAAACTGATCCTTCAACACAGAGCATCTTCAGAAGTTGATAAAATAAATGTAAAAAAATCTGTATTGTTCAACACAAGTGTGTATTGAACCTAAAGCACTGTACTGCAMGRTTCGATACRGGTACATGTATTGTTGCACCCCTATTAAATATGTTCAGTGCAGACTGCACCACCTTTACAAAAAATCTCAAAGACCAACTACTCCAAAAAGCAATCAAAATAAAAACTGATGTATAAGAGCTTCTATTTTCAGCTCCATAAGACTTATAAGAGGAMAACTCCTCAACCTTTAGAACGCCCTGTCAACATTGTTTGCATCAACTAAACAGATGTCCAAAAGAAACAACATGGTCAGACAGCACACACAGTAACAAGGACGCTTTAACCGCCTTAAAAAAGCCAATTATTTTTTATCCCATAACAAATAATTGGCCTGAATTATCAGCCGAAAACTAATCAGAAYGTTATTAGAAACAACAGACTGCTGCAAGAAAGGATGATTACAACAAGGACAATTATTGAACAAAGTTTCTGATGAAAATGAGAAAAGCAGAGCATTGCTTCAAATTAGTCTGTTTGTGCAGCGCTGTCATTTCATTAATTGTGTATTCTTTGCATCATGTTTGCCTGTGAAGCCCAATGACAACAAAAAAATAAATGTAAACAGCAGTTTAGCTTGATGCAAACCCATAAACCCTTTCTGAATCTCAAAATGTATACATTTATAAACGTTTTCTTTAGACATTTTTAATTCCTTCTAAATAGCAGAAAAAGGACAAACGAGGTAAAAAGATAATTGTTTATTTTGGTTTTTCCCCACAACTAGTTTATCCACAATCAGACTGAAAGTAAAATATAGACTAAAGTACACCAAATGCAGGGATTTTTTTTAATATATACCACCATTAACTTCATGAAGACAGCATATGTGCATATTTTAAAGACTAATGCCAATATAATGACCACTGACTTTGAGGAAATAATCCTATGCTTGAGACCGGGTTCAGTTATTTAAGACTAGTATCTGGGAAATTCGTTAGTGAGCACAAACAAAACACAAAGCCCAATCTCTTACTCATAGAACAAAACAATGGTTTCACTCACATCTTTTTCATGACAACTCCATTTTGATGCGATAATGGATTGTGCCCACGTCTACAAGTTAAACCTCAAAACAGTCTTCATCTTTTAATTTGTTTTCTGCCGATTTATCTTTATATTTATAGATACATCATTAGACAACTCTCACGCTTCAATAAAATACAAAAAGGAAAAAAAAATTAAAGTGCTTTCTAATAACTCAAATATAATCTCAGAGAACGMTGCAGAGTTACGAATCAATTCTTGTCTGATTAGCTGTGTTCGTCAGTGCTGAAGGGAGGACGACGTAAGGCGTGACTGCGATCAAACGGTGAGCAGAGACATCTGTGCCATAGGTAGCATCACACATATGCAGCTTGCAGTGCAACCACTTCAGGGGTCATTAAATGTCTTTCATGTTCATATAATAATTATATTAATGGTAATAACATTAATAATACAATGGTAAAACATCTGCATCATCGTAGCAGACAGAACACCCAATTTCTGTTAGAAATGTGTACAATAAAGAAACTTCTCTAAAATACCAGCTGCCCTCTGCTCCCTCTTACTAAACACTAACTGGACCAGAAAACTTCGGATTCAACTCTTTAAAACGTTTTAATAGAACATAGTTGGGTTGTTTTTATGATTACATGATTAATTTGAAGTGTTCAGGCTTTAGAGACAAAATTTCAAAATAAGGGAAATTAATTATTAATACCCACCCCCCCACCCCAAGATACAGTTTGCATGCCAGCGTCGCTAACATCGCTGTTTGAAAACATGAATGGCCTCGTTCATTTAGGATCAGGCAGCACTGAACAGAAGTTTTTAAGGGTTAAAAGCTGGTTGACAAGGAAAGGGAGGTAATATCATATGGAGGCAAATGGTTCCTGTACTACTTCGGCCTCATCTAAAGAAGTAGCACGACGTTCACGAAGCACTGACAAAAAATCATCTCGCAGCATTTCAGCTGAGTGGGTATAAAAATATAGACATTTGAAACCCTGAATATATGTTCATATGTGATTTTCTGCAACGAGAAGAAAAAAATTTACAACCATCCCACACGGTTTACACTGTTTTTTTTGTTGTTGTTGTTGTTTTTTTCAAACTTTACTCAATCTAAATGTTTTCTTGTGTTACCTCGGGATGGAGGAGGTTTAAACCAATACAACACAGAACAACAATTATAATATCTTCATCAACAGCCTGCATCAGTCAGTATTTTTGTTTATACACTAAAATTACCTCTRGGTGTGTGACACAGATTTACTTGAGAAAGGAGTGTTTGTGTGTGGGGTGACATTACATCAACATGTCTTTGTGGTGCCTGGCTATGTGCTGGCTCTTCTCTGAAGGCCTCCTAAAACCCTTGGTGCAGTAGTCGCAACGATGGGGGTAGTCCTTGGTATGAATTGAGATGACGTGGCGTTTGAAGCCAGAGGCGTCCGTACTATTATACTCGCAATACTGGCACTGATAAACCTTCCTACCGCTGTGTGTCTTCATGTGCTTCTTCAGCTCAGCCGGCTGCCGGAAGCTTCGTCGGCAGCGCTTGCACTTAAAGGGAAGGTCCTTTGTATGCAGGGACAGAATATGGCGACTTAGGGTAAAAGTATCGGGAGCGTTGAAGTTACAATGCCGACATTGGTGCACCTTGTTGCCTTTGTGCGTCTCTGCGTGTTTCTTCAATTCTGAGGGCCGGTGGAAGCCTTTCTCACACACGTCACACTGATGGGGGAAGTCCTTGGTGTGAACGGAGATAATGTGTCGTTTAAGGTCACTGGAGTTGGTGCTCTTGTGCTCACAGTGTGGACACTGGTGGGTCTTGTGGCCCTGCACCATCTCTATATGACGTTGGAGTTCGCGAGCATCAGCGTAAGCTTGGGGACAGTGGTGGCACTTGAAAGGCAGATCGGCGCCGTGCTTGCTTTTGATGTGAGTCTTTAGGTTCGACTGGTCCGCACAACGGAACTCGCAGTGCGGACAGTGGTAGGGCTTCTCACCCGTGTGGGTCCGCATGTGTTTCTTCAGCTCCGACGGATGACGGAACCCTTTGGCGCACTCAACGCACACGTGTGCAAAGTTCTTACTGTGCACTGCTAACAGGTGACGATTGAGCAGACCTTGTTCGGCCGTTTCGTAATCGCAGTATTTGCAGTGATGCAGCTTGGGCTCTCGGTCCTTGACGATTAGCTTGTCTGAGCCCAGGGGGCTGGACTCGTGGTAGCGTCGGGCATACTCCGTATATTCTGGAGATCGCTCGCTGTTATGGCTCAGGAGCTTGTGACTCTCCAAATGATTGTGGAAGCTGATCTTCTTGTTGGTGGTAAAGTCACAGTCTGTACACTGGTACTTCTTTTTGAGCAGATGGTCTGGGTGGTTTTTCATGTGGCATTTGAGAAAGCCACGTGAGCGAAACTTCTTTCCACAGATGTGGCAAGGGTAGACGGTTAAAGGCATTCCATCTGGTCCAATGATGACAGCTAGAAGGGGAGTTTGGAAAAACGGTTTGCAATTACAATGACATATTTTAGATTGATTAAAAAATACTTGACATTTGTTTTGGCATTTAGAACACAATGACAGAAACAATAAGTCTTATTAATATGCTTTGCATCATTATATTACTCATACCAGTATGACACTGTCGTGTGTCTCCTTTCTTCTTCTTCTTAGCCTTTGGTTTGAGTACACGATTTTGGCCCAATCCCTCACGAATTTGCAGAAAAGGTGTAGCAACTCCATTCTTCACTTGCTCAATGGTAGCACCTGCACAGACAGATTACACTGAATTAAACCAGGACAATCATTTTATTTGAGATATATATATANAAAGTGACACCACAGATAATGGAAAAACAAAAACACTATAAAACACCTTTATTCTTTGAGGAAAGAGCAGCTGGTTTGCTGAGCACTGGCTCCATCCATAGCCTATAAAAAGTATTACATGCAGCATCAACCTGCATACAGCAACACATACTGTATACCTGCTTCAGTCTGATGGATGGTTATAGCCCAGATGAGACAAAGGACTGTCCCTCGTATCAGGGACGAAATAGAAAGCAGCGGCAATTGAGTCTATTAAAATTGAAGCATGTTTGTTTAAAAGACAGGGATGCACTTTCGTAAACTGTAAATCAAAAATAATGAAAAACTTAGCAACATTTGACAGCTTTCTGTGACCATCACAGCGGCGTTTTTAAGTATTTCACAGGTAGACTTTATGTTTGAAACGGATCTTGTGTTGCCACAATTATTATTATTTCACAAATAAAATAACCTCGATTTTCCAAACACTACAATAGACATGCTCAGAGTTTATGGCCACCAATGATAGCACCGCAGTTATGCAATGCATAATACGGGGGCTAACCGCCCTCCACCCACCGGAGCTAACTAACTAGCAAGGAAGCTAAGATCGACTTCCCAATCGCCATTTTGTTTTAGCATAAAAGCTAATTTTAGAGATTCGATAACCCCGATTTAAAAAAAACACCTAACGCTTTAATACACTTAAAAATACAAAATAATGGCACAACGAGAACAAATTACAAATCAACATGCCACGAGGTATTGTTCGTTAAGATGTCCCTGTCATTTACTCGACGACGGCATTTTAATCGGCTAGCTAGCTTGCTAAGCTAAGTGGCGCGCCTAGTGCCGCATTATCTTCCATGTTGTTTTTCAAAGAGGCCCACTCCGTTCGAACGGGCCCGTGCGTCTTATTCCACATGCCTCTGTGATCGATTTGAGAATTTATTACCTGATAACGTCGTCCTCTGACTCTAACGGTGTGTCTCCCCCTTCTCAAATTTGTCTGTTTTTGTTTTGGTTTATTTTTGACGGTAAGCTAAGTGCGGCCTGCAATTTTGGATCCCCGGGCACTCTTTGCTAGGCCTCGGCCAATCAGCTTGCTTCCTGACAAGCAGAGGGGAGGGCGGAGGGGGGGGGAGCAGACAATGCGTGGCCTCGTTTACCGCTGATCCCTTACTATTTGCGTCATGCATAAGAGAGCAGTTACATTGAAACGGGCTTGTCTCGGTGGGAATACGCATTTACGCGTAAATATGGGATGCCCACTCCAAACTTTAACACTCACAGGTTTTAAAATTAAAAAGTACGTGCTTGCCACGGTGTGCTCAAACTACGTATGCACAGATGAGGCCTGTAGGCCATTTTGTCACAAGGGGTGGGGGGCGCGTTTGAGTGGTGGCAAGCCCGTTTATCATTTAATAATTACACAAGCTCCTCAAAGCAGATGTCCATTGAACAGAACAAAGCAGACAAAGAATGCAGTTCATAGCCACAACCAACTTCTCAGACGTCTTGAACATTATTTGCAGCACAAATCTGATATTATTTTCATTCATGTATTTGGATTTGAAGCTTAATAAGTTCACAGTATATTCTTCATATTTAGAAGGAATTTTGGAGGAATCTGGAATAGTTTTTTTAAGGAAAAAATTACATAAAAATATCTGCAAACAGCTTTAGTGAACAGAACAAATATCCAGGTATAAACTAAATTTTATTATTTAAAATTAGTCAGAATATCATTAGGGCGATTCAGTTTAAAATCAGTTTCAGCAACCAACAATGTATCTATCACATAGTTACAAATAAATGGAACATAGGCATAATGGTTTGATTATATGTTACAACAGCCTGCCATACCACTTGCAGCCAAGACACATCCGGGATGTGATGCGATGCTGGTGTGGCTTTTTTCTTGCTTGTAAATAGATTATAATGTGACTAAACTGTTAATGCAGAAAGGAAGCATGCACAAAGAAAAAGAAAAAAAAAAGGCCAGCAATACAACTTCAGAGTAGACTTTATTCATTTTTTATTACAGCTCCTACATTTCAGAGGCACTCCATGAGGGTGCATAGCTGACCAAGGCACAGAGCCTTTGTGCATAAACAATTCCTTTTATTACAGTGGTTTCCAAAGACAGATGTTCAGTCCACATCTACATATGCAGTCCAAATGCTTGGAAAACTCAGTGCTGTAACAGTACCTTCAATTGTTCAAAGTTAATCATGGAAGTATAAAACTTGCAGCTGTAATGCACCTTGGCACAAACCATATTTCTCTATCTTCTTCTTTTTTTTTTTTTTTAGAAAAAAAAACCTCTTTTGTAAGGGCAGTGTGGTTTACAAGGGTCGTTTAGTCGTGTAAGCAAAGAGCAAAACACAAACAGCACTGATTTAAAGGACTCATCACTCAAATATTTATCGTTTTTCCACAGATAATTGTTGGGACACACAAAGAAAAGGATTTGTCATATTGCAGTTAGAAATCGACAGAGCTGCGCAGCTAAAGGAAAACAACTAAACCCAGCATGCAACACTCGGTACCTTCATCTAGTAGTTCACACAGATAATGTACAAATCAGCAATAGCTTCATTTTAATTGTCTTCAAATCGATAACAGCAATAACAGTACAACACAACCCTTAAAATTCCAGCAGTTTCTCACGATTACCATACAAAAATAGGTCAAATTGACACAAACATATTTTAGGAAAGTTCAAGTTGGTCCATATAACAAATTGAGTGCCTATATCCTTGTCTGCCTACACATCGTTTTCGTTTTGTGTGTGTGTGTGTGTGTGTGTGTACAACCTACTGAAGTTAATCATTTGGGATGGTAAGCCTGCTACCTAACACTGTAAAAAATCTAGTTTGTGTACAATCTTACCCAGACAGACAGATAAAAAAATAGACAGAACATATCGTGAAAGTTATCTCAAAATCTAGCAATGTAAAAAAGACGATACAGCCTCTAATCTCTACATGCTGTTTCACCAAATGAACATACTGATGTCATCATCGCTGTCGTCATCATCATCATCATCATCACTTTCATCATCCTCATCTTCTTCCTTTGGAGGGTGCTTGACTGCCATGTAGACCATCTTGTCACGACCAACTCCCAGTCTGCCTGATGATGCAGCTTCCAGATCAGGATGGCCATTTTGGTAATCATCCTCTGTTATTACCTCTGTTCCACCTGAAAATGGAAAAACACAATCTTGTTAAAGCTGAGATTGATTTGAATCTGAACAACTGGAGACAGTTATTTCAATTTTCTGGAATATATGATGAAGATTTAAATGGTACCTAAATCATCATCTGCTTCAGCTTTAAAAATGTAGACTTTTATGACCTCTGAGTCATCTTCCTCTTTGATTTCCTTGTCCTCCATCACTTCAGTGCTGATTTCCAGTGGAGTGTCTCCTATGTCTAACTTCTCTCCCACTTCATCAACTACAATAAAAAACACTGGTTATGCTAGAAGATATACAAATATTATTTAAAGCYGTTACTATATGCAAAGTTTCCTTACGGGAGATCATGAGGTAATCCTCGGAGCTGCTTCTTCCATCATCATCCTCGTCTGTCTGCAGGGCAACAGCCTCAGCTGGCAGCTGTTGATGGATTATGGTCTCAGCATTGGCCTCTGTCACCATCAGACCTTCTGATACAAGCTGGTGGTCCAGTGTGCTGTCCTGGTGCTCAGACAGTAGTTCTGCCACAAACACCTGGTCTGCCATATCATCAGGGTGGTTTGAGTCCTGGATAAGGTCTGCTGTTAGGACATGGTGATGATGAGCGTCCAAGGCCTCTTCTATTGCAACCTCTGTTCCCAGAATATTCTCAGGCATGATCACACTGTGTCCTGAGGAGACCATGTCTTCACTGGTTATTTCATGGGCCTCCACCCCTTGAGACTGCAAACTTTCCACATCCACCTCCAGCCCTTCAACACACTCAGCTTCCAAATCCTCGACTTCCACTTCTTCTTCCAGGCCTTCAACAACATGAGCTTCCAGGCCCTCCACATCTACTTCAGTCTCCAGGCCCTCAACCACATGTGCTTCAAGACCCTCGACTTCAACCTCACCGTCCAGACCCTCAACCACCTGAGCTTCCAACTCCACCACATGTGTGTGCAGGCCTTCAACAACTTCTGCCTCCAAGCCTTCGACATCTGCATGCAAGTCTCCCACCACTTCGGTCTCCAGTCCTTCAACCACTTGAGTTTCAAGACCTTCCACCTCAAGTCCATGCTCTAGGAGGATTCCCTCATCTGTCATGACGTCAGACAGGAGCATACCCTCAGGAACAGAGACCACAATGTGTTCCCCGTCGATGTGAGCCAGACCTCCCATGCCTGCAACTTAAAGACAAAGACAAAATGTTTCAAAATGATGATAAGCTACACCTCAGGTCAAATGACTGTGTATGTACAACACCTAACTGTTAGATATCAACACGCAGGAAAGATGTTGAGTAGAAAGTAGGGCCGCATTACATATTGCAGATTTATCGTCATTGCGATAACGGCCTATGTAATAGGTATATCACAAAAATAATGTGTAAACTGCAATAAGTAGTTGGCTCAAAAGTTTTCTTTCATGCATTTTGTCAGCATCAGTCTGATAAACAAAATAGACCCAAAATACCACATCAAATCATAACCACTTGATCAGCGGAGAAAATGTTGGACAACTGCAATGAGAGAATTTGCACTTAGATTTAGGGTTGTTACCTTTTATTTAAAATCCTTTAAGCTATTTTCAGATGTTTTATTATTTCTTTTAAAAATTTATATTAAAGGGTGTTTTATAGTATTTAGAGTATCAGAAAATGTTTTATGGGTACAACGTTTTAAAGTCATTAAGAAACTGTATTACACACAGTTTGTTGTTTCACTGCCAATGCAGCTGTGTCTAGTTGCACTTTTTAAAAATAAAATGACACGTTATAGTGGAAATTATGTATTTGTTGTTTCATTGCTCTGAACCCAGCACAGAAAGAAATCAACATAGCATATTTCAGCATTTGTTCGTTTATCGCAAGTCATACTGTYATCGTAATATTAGGCACCGTTGTCACACATCGCAGGTTCTCCTGATATTGTGCAGCCCCTAGTAGAAAGATAAACCAAAACACTTTGTACTTTATTTTCAAAAAATTTTGCAAGATTATTGAAAATGCTCTTTATATTTGAAAAGACTGTGTTGTTATCGAGGTCTTAATTACAGTAAATATTAGGTAAATCAATCTGCTGATAATGTAGTGTCCTCTCACTGGAGACTCCATGTCTTGAGTTTGTAGACTGTATTTATAATCAAAGCTTACAGTGCTTGGCTAAAGCCGCTGTCTAACTTAGTGCAAGAACAACTGGCTCGACAGTAATATCAACACTTTAACCGGCTCATAAAATATTGTCATTTTTAGGAAACCACAAAATGTGGTATACATCAATTTAACAGAAAATAAAATATTGACAAAATACTGCCACAGATAAAACAGTTATTACAATTTTCTTGCCAAGTATGGTTTTGAATTGAGAGCGCTGCTGCATGATTTCAAAAAAAGTTGTAACCATTACTGGTGTTTTCAATATTACCTAATAAACAAGTGACAATAACCCAGCTCCATCAGACGGAACTTTACATTGAGGAGTTAAGCTAACAGCTACAGAGGCTGTGTCCAAAACGGCAGGCCTGGTCCTCMGAAGGCCGAATTCGTCGGCCGCATACGTCACAGCGCCGCGACAAAGGCAGTCCAAAACTGAAGACTCCTCTGATGCGGTCGACAAATATGTCCTTCCTTTTCCTCGATTTGAAGGACAGGTCTGATGGATCCTTCCCAGCCCAGCGTATCCCATAATGCTTTGCGGCCCGACCGGAGATTTTTTTTAAGCTAGTAATGGCGGACGAAGCGAGACATAAGAATACGTTTTAAATAAAAATGTGGCGATATAAAAAATTTAATTTTTTTGCGGTTGTAATTCTAATACTTTTAGCATTTGTATGGACATGTTTTTAAATATTATTTTTGTCATAAAAAAAACGAGAAATAAACATGCACCTACAGCGGGTCAATTAGTTCTTCAAATGTTACCTTTAAGTTAATTTTATAGTTTTGTGATATTAATAATGCTAATATATAGATATTATTCTAATTTTGATTTAAGTTTGCTTGTTTAGCGTCGTCACAGTTGCTAGGTGACATGACGTAAGGAGGGTAGGCTAGACCGTCCAAATTCACAGCCTCTTTTTTTCTGGTCTTCCCGGTCTACCAAGGACCCGGCCCGCCTCGATCGGGTAGTCTGGGTCCTCCGGAGGACCCGGCCTGTCGTTTTGGACACAGCCAGAGTCTGCAAGAGATCGCTCTGCCCAATTAACACGGTGAAAGAGCTATGTCTCGTCATCATTATGTGCTCTCATGCAATAACAAAATTAGTTCTCAGCATTTGACACATCACGTGAGACACATTCAAGTGGAGCAGTTGGGGAATACGTGCCTGACTCAAAGACACCACTGTAGGCAGGGAATAGAACCTGCAATTTTCCAAACTGGCTGCCTTACTACTGCTCCACAGCCGCCCCTGTAGTTGTTTAATCTGACTCATACAGATGTCCTCTTATCTCAGGAAAAGGCAAGTTGTCAAGTGGTTGTTGTTTTGGTTCCTGCCCAATTTTATTGACTCATATGTAGCTACTGTTCTATCAGCTAAAATGCAAGCTAATTTAACTGATTCAGAGAACAACGTTAAGTTTCAACTCACTAAGTATGACAGAAAAACTTTAAGATGTTGAGAATACATATACAGCCCAAAATGTTCAATGTATTCCCCTTCCCAAAAACTAGAACCCAAATGCAGTATCTTTTGTGCCTGATGGAAAAATGCAGAAATTTCCTGGTGTGATTTGTTTTGTTTCATTTTGTTAGCTAAAAGTGCAATTTCTAGGATACTAGTTTCCAGCTGGATCGACTTAACCACTTACCAAAATCTTGCATGATCATAGCATGGGGCATCTTCAGCTCCTGAGTGTGTAGCTCCAACACTCCTCCTCCTTGATCCATTTCTTTATTTCGTTAAAAAAAGAAATCCTGAAACTTACAACATAAATAACATTAACCCACCCATATTTTCTGCGTTACTACCATATAAGTGAAAGTAAAACTGCGGCCAGGATTCAGCACTTACCTTACATTTAGAGACTAGACCTTAAAAATAAAACCAACAGGTTGAATGAAACGCCCCCTTCCATCAAGACAGAAATCACACTGCCAAAAAAAGGAAAACAAATAAATAATCACAATCTTTTTCAAAAAGTTTATTTCTTACAATGTGTTATATTTAGACTCTTATAAATTTAAATTTGTGTTCGTAGAAAGTGTACGGAAGCGTGTTGCTATCAGGCAGGAAAAAAAAAATCCGAGCGCTATCACGTTATAACGTGATACGTATCTTGTTAAAACGTGATACGTATCACGTTTTAACGTGATAGTATTAACGCTATCACGTTATAACGTGATACGTATCTTGTTAAAACGTGATACGTATCACGTTTTAACGTGATAGTATCACGTTTTAACGAGATACGTATCTCGTTAAAACGTGATACGTATCTNAAAGTGACACCACAGATAATGGAAAAACAAAAACACTATAAAACACCTTTATTCTTTGAGGAAAGAGCAGCTGGTTTGCTGAGCACTGGCTCCATCCATAGCCTATAAAAAGTATTACATGCAGCATCAACCTGCATACAGCAACACATACTGTATACCTGCTTCAGTCTGATGGATGGTTATAGCCCAGATGAGACAAAGGACTGTCCCTCGTATCAGGGACGAAATAGAAAGCAGCGGCAATTGAGTCTATTAAAATTGAAGCATGTTTGTTTAAAAGACAGGGATGCACTTTCGTAAACTGTAAATCAAAAATAATGAAAAACTTAGCAACATTTGACAGCTTTCTGTGACCATCACARCGGCGTTTTTAAGTATTTCACAGGTAGACTTTATGTTTGAAACGGATCTTGTGTTGCCACAATTATTATTATTTCACAAATAAAATAACCTCGATTTTCCAAACACTACAATAGACATGCTCAGAGTTTATGGCCACCAATGATAGCACCGCAGTTATGCAATGCATAATACGGGGGCTAACCGCCCTCCACCCACCGGAGCTAACTAACTAGCAAGGAAGCTAAGATCGACTTCCCAATCGCCATTTTGTTTTAGCATAAAAGCTAATTTTAGAGATTCGATAACCCCGATTTAAAAAAAACACCTAACGCTTTAATACACTTAAAAATACAAAATAATGGCACAACGAGAACAAATTACAAATCAACATGCCACGAGGTATTGTTCGTTAAGATGTCCCTGTCATTTACTCGACGACGGCATTTTAATCGGCTAGCTAGCTTGCTAAGCTAAGTGGCGCGCCTAGTGCCGCATTATCTTCCATGTTGTTTTTCAAAGAGGCCCACTCCGTTCGAACGGGCCCGTGCGTCTTATTCCACATGCCTCTGTGATCGATTTGAGAATTTATTACCTGATAACGTCGTCCTCTGACTCTAACGGTGTGTCTCCCCCTTCTCAAATTTGTCTGTTTTTGTTTTGGTTTATTTTTGACGGTAAGCTAAGTGCGGCCTGCAATTTTGGATCCCCGGGCACTCTTTGCTAGGCCTCGGCCAATCAGCTTGCTTCCTGACAAGCAGAGGGGAGGGCGGAGGGGGGGGGAGCAGACAATGCGTGGCCTCGTTTACCGCTGATCCCTTACTATTTGCGTCATGCATAAGAGAGCAGTTACATTGAAACGGGCTTGTCTCGGTGGGAATACGCATTTACGCGTAAATATGGGATGCCCACTCCAAACTTTAACACTCACAGGTTTTAAAATTAAAAAGTACGTGCTTGCCACGGTGTGCTCAAACTACGTATGCACAGATGAGGCCTGTAGGCCATTTTGTCACAAGGGGTGGGGGGCGCGTTTGAGTGGTGGCAAGCCCGTTTATCATTTAATAATTACACAAGCTCCTCAAAGCAGATGTCCATTGAACAGAACAAAGCAGACAAAGAATGCAGTTCATAGCCACAACCAACTTCTCAGACGTCTTGAACATTATTTGCAGCACAAATCTGATATTATTTTCATTCATGTATTTGGATTTGAAGCTTAATAAGTTCACAGTATATTCTTCATATTTAGAAGGAATTTTGGAGGAATCTGGAATAGTTTTTTTAAGGAAAAAATTACATAAAAATATCTGCAAACAGCTTTAGTGAACAGAACAAATATCCAGGTATAAACTAAATTTTATTATTTAAAATTAGTCAGAATATCATTAGGGCGATTCAGTTTAAAATCAGTTTCAGCAACCAACAATGTATCTATCACATAGTTACAAATAAATGGAACATAGGCATAATGGTTTGATTATATGTTACAACAGCCTGCCATACCACTTGCAGCCAAGACACATCCGGGATGTGATGCGATGCTGGTGTGGCTTTTTTCTTGCTTGTAAATAGATTATAATGTGACTAAACTGTTAATGCAGAAAGGAAGCATGCACAAAGAAAAAGAAAAAAAAAAAGGCCAGCAATACAACTTCAGAGTAGACTTTATTCATTTTTTATTACAGCTCCTACATTTCAGAGGCACTCCATGAGGGTGCATAGCTGACCAAGGCACAGAGCCTTTGTGCATAAACAATTCCTTTTATTACAGTGGTTTCCAAAGACAGATGTTCAGTCCACATCTACATATGCAGTCCAAATGCTTGGAAAACTCAGTGCTGTAACAGTACCTTCAATTGTTCAAAGTTAATCATGGAAGTATAAAACTTGCAGCTGTAATGCACCTTGGCACAAACCATATTTCTCTATCTTCTTCTTTTTTTTTTTTTTTAGAAAAAAAAACCTCTTTTGTAAGGGCAGTGTGGTTTACAAGGGTCGTTTAGTCGTGTAAGCAAAGAGCAAAACACAAACAGCACTGATTTAAAGGACTCATCACTCAAATATTTATCGTTTTTCCACAGATAATTGTTGGGACACACAAAGAAAAGGATTTGTCATATTGCAGTTAGAAATCGACAGAGCTGCGCAGCTAAAGGAAAACAACTAAACCCAGCATGCAACACTCGGTACCTTCATCTAGTAGTTCACACAGATAATGTACAAATCAGCAATAGCTTCATTTTAATTGTCTTCAAATCGATAACAGCAATAACAGTACAACACAACCCTTAAAATTCCAGCAGTTTCTCACGATTACCATACAAAAATAGGTCAAATTGACACAAACATATTTTAGGAAAGTTCAAGTTGGTCCATATAACAAATTGAGTGCCTATATCCTTGTCTGCCTACACATCGTTTTCGTTTTGTGTGTGTGTGTGTGTGTGTGTGGGTTAACGACGGTTCATGCAGGGAACAAGATATTTAACTACAAATCCAGTGCAGCCCAGCGCTCCAGTCTGGAATGAGGAATCAGTTTGTGCAACACATTTGTGGACACAGTGGAAGTTTTTTTTTTCCTGAACTGAGGAGAAGTCAGGTGGACGTTGAAGGGCCCTTCATCAGTAACAGCCATCTTTCCAGGACTCGTCGGAGATTTTAGCCATGCCCAAAGACCTGTCATTAAAATAAGAGGTTAGWATTTGATGAGGTGAAGGCTACGATTGATCACATTAAGAACTTTTATTTTCTGTTTTGGAGCACACACCTTCTGGAAGGCTGCGAGAGTTTGCTTCTCGTGGAGAGTGACGTCGCGGCCTGGCCTCGACCCACTGCCTGCCTCCCTGCCCCAACTGAGCCTCTCCCGGGTCCGTAGGCCCCGCCGTTAGCAGATGCTATGGACTGGACCCTGCGGCCCCCTCCTGTAGGCAGTGCCTGGATAATGGGCAGACCTCTGGAGGACTGACGACCAGCTGACATGGAGCCCACCGGGGTGACGGCTTTGACTGGCGTCCGCAGAGAGAGGGGGGACTGCCCGTTGGGGCGCAGGCGACTGCAAACCGTACCTGGAGTTTCAGGAAAGAGGAGCACTTTACCTGGATCTCAGTCCACAACGTATTGAGTTTTTAAGTCAAGTTAAGAAAACCAATGCTAATAATGGGCCTGTCACAATAAGCAATAAATCAATGAATCGCACAATAAATTAAAATGGGGTCGATCATTTTAATTTGGCTGCTTGTTTGTTTGTTTGTTTTTTGCATCTCCCTCTTTTCTACTTTTCACCGTAGTTTGGGGTGAACTCTGGCATCAGATAATTTGCTAGGCTCATGGTGTCGTAACCTCTGTAGCATGAGAGCTTCATGAACAGGAGGAGTGTCTTGGATTGGCAGAGCTTTTTCCCCCCACTATGTAAATTTCGTAAACTTAAAGGGGCAATATTATGTGTTTCTCAGGCATACATTTAAATACTATACCATAATAAAGCATCTATGTCACCTTTAGCTGTTATTAAAATGCTGTTTTTAAGTTTAAATAGAAATTAAAATTATCTTCTCATTACTTACTCTTCTAAATGCCTTGAAATTGGCCTCTGTCTCTTTAAGAAACACCTTCTGCTTCTGTCTCACCCATTTCATTGGGGGGGGGGTGCTATGATGCAGTTTACTTGGCATCTGATCAAAGGTATTTTTTAATCTGAAAAGAGCTTCACTGAGTGAGAACTAATATTAGGAGCTCAGCAGACAGTTTCAGTTTCACTTTCAGTTTCACCCAAGAGCCTGCAGGACTCATGGGTGGGGTGTGTGGGGAGCGGGTTGGGGGGGGGGCGCTCTGCCATGAGGAAGTTCTGCTTAAAGACACGTCCCAGGGGCGTTTTTGGTCCCCACCTGTCGTTTTGTTCCTCAGCATGGCTTCCTAAAAACGCTGCAGGATTTCTCAGACATGCATGAATGAGTCAAAGCAAGGCTTTGGGCATGTTTTTTTATGAGAGTATAACATTAAAACATGATATAAAACTCAAAAAAGTTGATTTTACATGATATTGCCCCTTTAAACAGCGTGAGGATGACCGCAGTTATTTTATCATTTCAGCTTCAGAAGCTGTTGAGTGTTGTTTTTCAAATCTTCAGTCCAGGATAGTTTGTAACTTTTTCTATCTTCTGTAAKCTGTGTAGGCGGTGGGGTTTTATATTAGTTTAAAATGGTTTCCAAACAATATTATCGTTTATCRTGATAATTTCCGAGACAATTTATCGTCCTGTAAAATGTTACTGTGACAGGTCTAGCTAATAACAGAGAGCTTTTATGTTGTATAGGAGTTGTAGACAAGATTTGAAATGGTGATACTGGATTAGAAAGGGATAGCTTCAGGGTTAAGGTTTGTTTACATAAAAATGTATATTTAGGATAAATGGGTAGGGCAAAAAGGAGGATAGCATCTGAGATGCTTTGTACAACTGTGAACAGTTGTGAAATGGGTCATGCATAATTTGATGATGAAATGTTATGTGCACACAATTATTGCTGTATCTATTACTGCTAAAAAAATATTCTTTACTTATTTTCTAGTTGAATCAATATTTTTTAATTACACTAAAATACTCATGATGATTACATTGAATTCAAAATTACACAGTTTTGTTTTGGYAATATAGCCTTTGGCAAGTAAATGTTCTGGCACAGATGGTGTGCATTATCATGACAGCACTGCCCACACTCCCCTATAAAAATCACCCCTATCATTAACAAATTAATGATTTCTGCTGTATTTGTGCTGCAAATATACAAAACATCAGTTTAGAGATGCACACCTTTACGTGAAACTCTAAACTGCATTGCTAGAGATCAAAATTTCATGTTCTAATTAAAAAACAATGTTTCTAATTACTGATCAAACCTTGCTGTCATGCAGAAGCAAAGCGATAATTCAGATCTTCTGAAGTGGGGTCCTGTAGAAAAGCTCATTAGCACTTACTAGTTAATCGATTAGATTAAGATTACTAAGACATTTAGTATCGATCCAATACCAAGTAAATACAAAGCTAGYATCGCTGACACCAATGTCTTACTTGTCAAATTCACTGAATAATTTAGTGATTTTGCCTTTAATCAGTCGATTAGGATAAAACACTGGACAAAAATTTTAGCTAAATAAATTTGTTTTCTATTAACGAACTACAACAATATAAAACAACATAATATAAAAATAATAACATAATTCCTCAATTGCCTTCTACTACAAACAAGTGTTTACGAAAAAACTTTGGAGACGCTATTTTCTTTTATTTTGTGAAAATAGTCAWTAGTGTAAATAAGTGTAAACAAAGGTATAGATCTCGTCACACTAGAATCACTATAATACTGATGATCAGTTTGGTACCATATTATTGTATTTAGATTGTGACTCCCACCCCTATTAAAGATAGCTATTTGAATGATATCAAGTCTGAGACATATTGATTAGTTCTGATGGYTTGACGAGCTAATGGCTAGTYYAAATGTGGCCAAGACCAAGGTAGATTGCTCCCCTTCTGGCTCAGGCAAATACTATTTGATAAACTCTTACATAGCCATACATTTTGAATTACTCCGTTATWTATACATTTACATATATTGTTGTTTTTAATGAAAAACAAATAGTGGCAGCATATAAAACAAATGTTATACGGTTTGTTAAACAGTGTTAACATGAACTGCAATGAAATCTTTGGTTTCAGCAGTGATCAAACAAACCAAAACTCTATCCAGAGTTAAACTCCATTCCTCCAAACTGAGCTCATTCAAAGAGCTATCTACAGCAGGTAAAACATTAGTTGTTTGCCGCCTTTCTACAGAACCACTCTTGAAAATGTCTTAACTTTGCCTTGAGGAGCAGGTAAGTTGGAGGGATAATGTGTCGGCTCAGGTTAATGCAAAGAAGACTATGAGGACAGGTGTGCAGGTTAGGAGGGTAGGGTTACCTGTGGAGGGGGAGTGAGGCAGGTGAGACATGCGGTTGCCAGAGCTCTGGAGGTTAGCCTCCATGCTGCGGCTGTTTCTGACAGCCTCCAAGGAGCGCAGGCTGGTGCGCGGGGCCAGATTAGGCATGCTGTGCCTCAACTCCTCTGGAACCGCACACACCACACCATGAATTTAACACAAGAGAACATATTGTCTCAGCTTTGGAACAACAACCTTCCCTATAATCATTTTAACACTTTAGAATTTACTCTGTTAGGCCTACCTTCACTCTTGGCAAATTTGAGCAGCTCTGCACTGGGGCCCTGAAGAGACCGTCTGGGCGTCTTTGTGCACGGCGCCCCGAGTCGCCTGCTGGTTTCTTGGCCGTGGTTGGAGGTGGATGGAGAGAGGCACCGGGGCGAGCCTAAAGGCGAAGGCGTAAAGCGATGTCGACGCTGCGGCACGGAGCTGAGCTCGTCCTCTTCGTCCTCCAGACTGTAGGTGTCAAACTCCTGGTCGCTGTAGGTTCCACCGCGACGCAGGGAGTGCAGGGACGTGGTGGAGCTGCGGCGGGATGCAGACGCCGAGCTGGAGGCACAATCCTGCCTCAGACCTGTCCCACATAAATAAAGAAAACAACTAGAGAATCTGCATTTCCAGCAAAAATGCAGCGTGACGGCTTAATGCTGAAGGATTTTAGCTGAAGGCTGCTGAAGAAGCTGAAGTCAAGCTAAAAAAGGTTTAATAGTGAAACTGTTATTGCAGGATAAAACGGTTGACTTTTGTTGAAAAATGGGTAGGTCCAAAAAGTTGCARTATGTTCTAAAATAGAGCAGGTGAAATTAGTAGGAAAATAGCTATAAAGCTGAAATTAGAACAAAGAATCAGAGAGAGCATAAGAGAGCTGAAATTATCACTTAAAATCACTTAAAGTAAACTTAACGGGGGGAAAAAAGCTAAAATTAGCTGAAAATAGCTAAAATGGCAAAAACAGATACAATTAGTAGAAAGCAGCTGAAAGAAGCATGAAAGGCTTAATGTGGCAGAAAGAAGCAAAAAYGATTGCAATTAACAGAAAAGTAGCTAAAAGGAGCATAAAATAGCTGAAAAACCTGAAAGTACCAAAAATCATAGCTGGGACTTCCTGGAGGAGCTGAACGTTTATGAAAAATTGCAGAACGAGACACAGTACGTGCCAAAAAACTTACAGAAAACAAATGAATAATCTCAAAAGTGTGATGTTTGTAGGGTTGGGCAATATTGGTAAAAAATTATTCACGATTAATTGGGGCATTTAGCCAATAACGATTAATTTGGCGATTAATTCCCTGGAGTCCCTGGACACCCTTATTTCCTAGTCCTGGTCACATGACCAATTTAGTGGGAAAGATTTGCTCTTCATAAAAATCAGTTCCAAATTTTTAAAATTACAGACTTCAGGCTATATATCAAATTTTAAATTGTGTTGATAGATAAATAAATTATAGAACTTTTTTTWAATGTTCGTCATTTGAAGTGGAGAGGAGCACCGAGCGGCCTCTGCCTGGTGGTATTAATCATATTAATCGTCAAGTGCCAAAAAATAATCAATTTAAGTTTTTCTGACGATTAATTGCACATGATATGATTATGCCCAACTCTAGATGCTTGATAAGCCTCAAACAGAATAAATTGCATATTTGTCTTTACAAAGAACAATTTAAAAGCACTTCAGCCACACAAATAGCATGTTTTACAGCCGCTCATAAAAACTGTTTATAGACACCACCACGGAACAGGAACTCACTCTCTTCTTGCAGGCGAGCCATGATCTGGACATCAGTGAGATCCTGGAGCTTGTAGCCCATAGAGATGGAGTCATCTGAYGTGCTGAGCTCACTGTCTATAGACGACTGCGAGCTGAGGGCCGACTGTGCACTTGGGACACCTGAAAATAATGTGAAGCTACCTGTTAAAATCTCTTTAAGACTAAATCTCACATGATTTACCAAGTAAGTAGTAAGTAGTAAAACTCTCAAAAAAGCCAACACTGACATAAAAACTGAAAAAATTTCAGATTAAACTACATGGTTCTGTTAAAGGGATCCATGATTAATTGTATTATTAGACTTTGATAAACATTTATTTTAACTGTAAAATAAAGACTGTAAAAATACTGTAGGCTGTTTAGTTTTGTAAAATTTTAGAAATACATTTTAACACGGACAGAGCCATTTTATTTACACGCAAAGCATTCTGCRTAAACGATGATGTGGATAGGTCCTYGGTGCGAGGCTGATAATGAGCTATATCCACCCTGAAGGTTAATCTTGGACAATATCTGATGATCGACTCTTTTAAATGAAATCAGAGAGCGTTGACAGAGAGGAGAAGGTAGAAATGACTCAGCCTGTAGCTGAAAATATGGATGGAGGACAACAGAGCTGCTTCATGGAAGAAGAACCCCAGCTTAGCCTGTTAGCTTTAGCTTTAGCCACGATGCTATCACTATATATGTATTAGCTCAGTGCTACACATTCTCCTCTCGTCACAAAAATGACTCATTTGCAACTGAAAATATGGATGGAGGACCTCAATTTAGCTTGATAGTTTGTCACGCTAGCGCCGAGATAATCCATGTAAGGCAATTTAGCGTCGGTGCTAGCACAAAGGCTAACATGCTAAGCTGAGGTTCTTCTTCCATGAAGCAGCTCTGTTGTCCTCCATCCATATTTTCAGTTACAGGCTGAGTCATTTCTACCGTCTCCTCTCTGTCAACGCTCTCTGGTTTCATTTAAGAGTCAATCATCAGATATTGTCCAAGATTAACCTTCAGGGTGGATATAGCTCGCTAGCAGCCTCGCACCGAGGACCTATCCACATCATCGTTTACGCAGAATGCTTTGCGTGTAAATAAAATGGCTCTGTCCGTGTTAAAATGTATTTCTAAAATTTTACAAAACTAAACAGCCTACAGTATTTTTACAGTCTTTATTTTACAGTTAAAATAAATGTTTATCAAAGTCTAATATTACAACTAATCAGGGATCCCTTAAATATTTAAAGATTAATCAAGTCCTCATAAACAAACCCTGGCAAGTTTCACCTACAGTATTTGTGCATAACCAGGGTAGCAGAATCAAACATGCACAGAACCACAGGATAAACAGGCCAACAAATAAACAGAAACTRGATGTGAAAATGATTAGTCTTGATTAACTGGCTTCTTTAACACCAGTGACTGGGAGGAGTGTCAAATCATGCTAAACCAGCAGATGAGCATTTATGTAAAACATCAAACACGCATTAAACTTAAAGGTTGTAAGGTCCAACTTTGATTTAATTAAAAGCATTTCTTTGCCTTTTTTAGTACCACTTTGTTCCTCTGCATTATTTTGAAAAAGATTATTGTGCTGGCACACAAGTTACACAAACAGAAAATCTGGGATTAAGTAAGATCACATCAAACTGCCAAGCATTCATTTAGGTTTATGAATTAGCTTTCTTACAAAAATACATATAGTATAACTGGTTTTTGAAAAATCCAAAATTGAGACCATWTGAGTAATTAAAAACCAAATGATACAGCTACAATACTGCTAACATGACGCAGTCAGCTGTTCCTAACCTTTGGTTACCAATTACACATGAACCTCATTTGACTAGTTATCTGTGGTGTCAGATAATAAAACAAATAGCTTCTTGGTAAAATGAGGAAGATTATCTAGAACTTTATAGAAAGGTTTAGAAAAACACTTGGCAGTAATAAGTACAGCAGTGTCCTGGATGAAAACAGTAAAGCAGAAAAACATGCAAAAACACAAGCAAGCTCTTAAGAAATGTACCACCCTTGAAATGTTTAGTGTACACTCGTGAACTGAGCATCTTCCCGCCAACATCAGTTATTCCCACAGTGTGTTAATGTCATGCCGTACCTGAGCTGCCCAAAGTTAGTAGGGATTTGTTAGTTGATTTGTGGTACCCAGGAGAGATCAGGCCAGAGCTCGCTGACCCCGCCTCCGATGCGCTGCTGTACATGTTCCTCCATCGAGACGCTGCAAGGAAACAGGACGGCAAGAGATCAGAGATCCGGGAACTCGAAGATGGTTGGTGCTAAGGCTGGCCGATATTGGCAAAAAAAATTACTCCAGATCAATTGTGATATTTAGCCAATAACGAGTAAATGACGAATAATAGATGACAATTACACTTGCATGCCTTTGACTCTAAATCAATTACCCTGTGTTCTAAAATTAGACAAATCATATCAAACTAACATCTTCATTTTAAAAGGTTAAAACAGTCAGCTGTTAATTGTGTTTAGTGGCAACAGGTCTTTAGTAACGCAATATGCCACAGGTTCACACGCGAGTTTGATAGTGAGAGTACATCACACGCAAAAATACGTCAATACGTAATTGCAAAGTGGCAAATATTAATTGACGATTAACTGCACACAATACAATTTTGCCCAAACCTACATAATCACACAAGAGTTTGTAACACAAGCTGTGTACATACAGTGGTTTGCAAAAGTATTCATACCCCTTGAACTTTTCCATATTTTGTCACATTACAACCACAAACATAAATATATTTCACTGGAA